CTGGGTCAGAGCGGGACTCTGACCTTGGCTGAACAGTATCTGCCAGCCCTCTCCAAAGCTTCACGGGCAAATCACTTCCAGCTTTTTAAATGTCTGGCTTAAACCACCACCTGAGCATCCCATGCATCTCCAGTCACTGCCCACAAACAGCATGGTACACGGAAAGCAGTCTGGGGACACAATGCTGTCCCTCTCCTGCACCACAGGGGAACCTCCTGCATCCGCCACCCCTGGACAGTCCGTAAATGCCCCTTCCCTCCTTATCTTTCCCTGAGCAGCAGGGGTCTTGGCATCTCCTTAGCCCCTGTTTCCTCTTCCAGTTCCTGTTGACACAGTGGCCATGGGAGAACAATGGGGGCAAGGGCAGCAGAGAGACAACCTGTCTGTTCCTCTGGTTGTCTGCTCACTTTCCCGGGCACAGCTGGGCCACAGGGACCTTTAGCACAGCTGATGAGGTGGCAGCACAGGGAGAGGCTAGGGCAGGGTGACCCCACAGGGGAGCCACAGCCTGAGCAGTCTGGCTCTGCCCCATCCCAGCACCGCAGCACTGGGCATCCCACAGCATTAGGCCACCCTGCACCGCCTGGATGCTGGTAAAGATGTCCTAGTGAAGAAAGGGATGCAGAGGTACCTCTGTGCTGATGAGAACAGGGCTGAGAGGCCAACAGAGGCATATAGAAAAGTGGCTGGTCAGGGATTTGGGGGAGAGAAGAGTTTTTATTGTGAGTTATTGGCCATGCTGACACTTTCTGCCCTCCAGCAGTGTCATTGGCACAAAAAACTATATTAAATAAAGACCTCATCAAGGCCAGCAGGTCTTGAATTAACCTCCCTGAATTTCCAGCCTGCGAGGAGCAGGGAGGTAAGCTCACCCTTATCTGGAGGGAGTGCTGGTCAGGAAGAAAATTGCGTGTTCCTGAGGAGCGGCTGGACGCCCAGCGGGAGGTGCGGCTGATACTGTTCAGCCAAGGTCAGAGTCCCGCTCCGACCCAGCCACCGACAGTCCCGAGGGTGGCGTGGAGCCAGCAGAGCTGAGGGGCTGGGAGCCCGGCACCTGCCAGCACATCCTGGCACTCCCCCTCCCCTCTCAGCATCCTCCGGCACCCCCAGCCCGCAGCCGCCAGCGGTTTGCTCAGCACCCCAAGGCCACCCAGGCTCCTCTGCTGGGGCTCGTGTGCCATCCAGTGGCGAAGACTCAGCTCCGGCACAGTCTGAGCCTTCCCACGCTGCCGCTCAGCGCCGGGAAGGAGGCAACCATGCTGGGCTGGAGCCTGGAAAGCATCTCGCCGTGGAGGACCCACTGTGGAAGCTGCAGACGGCAATGGGATGCACTGAGTCTCCATTGCCACACAGCCGGGGAGGCATGCCCGGGCCAACGATGCTCCTGGCAGGGGCGGCGGGCCTCCTGCTGCTGTAGCAGGATCCCAAGCTTCCCCTCGGAATGCTCAGGGAAGCAGTCCAGGTGCTGGAAGAGGAGAGTGGCCCGAGGTGGGTGAGCAGGGCTGGGCTGCAGCAAAGCCTCCTGCACCTACCCTAGGCATCCAGGATTGACCTTTGCTGGGGAGCGGGCAGATTCCTCATCTCAGGGAGATGTACAAGTCGTTCCATGGCAAGTACCTGACCACTGCATCTGTCTTGTCCCAGCCAGGGACAGGAAAGGGATCGAGTGCCTCCTCGATTTTAAACCACACTGACACTGATGGCTGGGCTGGAATTACCTCCAGCAGGGTCATTTCAGCTGTACCCCCGGGCGTGCTGCTGCTACCTGCTCTGCAATGGCTTGTGCCCATTTTAGCACAGTCAGCAGGATAGGGCTTTGAAACACCTGTGGGCAATCCTGAGCGTACAGGAGGTGTTCTGTGTATAGCACTAGTCCTCCATGGTCAGATGGATTCCAAAGGCATCATCCCAGAGGACCCTCATAGGGACATCACTTCTAAATGGATGCTGTAGGCAGCTGCACAGATCTTGGAGCTGTGCTGGACTGGGCTTGGCAGAGGGAGCAGGAGAGAGAGTTTTAAGGAAATTGGCTGAGAAGGCAGGTGCCCCAGCAGTGGCAGTTGTAGCTTGGTGAATCACAGCAGGCTCCTTTCTGCTTCAAGACATTAGGAGCAGTTCAGCAATTAAGACTGGCTTCTATTAATATGCAAATTTCTGCTGCCATGGCAATAATCTTATAAATGCAGATTGCACTGGGAACTATTGTTAGAGAGACCTGTGCTCGGCCCTGTACTTTGTCTGAGCAGATTCTTCTAACTGAGCTCCCCTGAGCCTGTGGCCTGGACAGCTGGGGACAGCACTGCCAGTGGCTACCGTGATGCAGGCAGCAGACTCCCACCCGTCATCTTCCCTATCCTTGCTTGGTCCTTTTTCCACAGATCATAAAGAATATCCTGAGTTGGAAGGGACTCACCAGGATCATCGAGTCCAGCTCCTGGCCCTGCACAGGACACCCCAAGCCCTCTGCCTGAGAGCATTGTCCAAACACTCCTTGAGCTCTGGCAGCCTTGGTGCCATAATCATTCCCTGGAGAGCCTGACCACCCTCTGGAAGAACCTTTTCCTAGTATGCATTCTAACTGTCCCCTGACAAAGCTCCAGACATTCCCTTGGGTCCTGCCACTGGTCACAGAGAGAAGAGATTGGAGCTGCACCTCTGCTGGCCTCAGGAGGAAGCTGCAGCAGATGCTGATGAGGCCTGACCTCAGGTTCTCCTTCTTCTCTGGGCTGAACAAACCAAGTGATCTCAGCCATTCCTCATGGCCCCTCCAGACCTTGCACCATCTTCATAGCCCTCCTCTGGACACTCTCTAACAGCTTTATATCCTTGCCTATGTGCCAGCAGCAACAGGCAGGCCAGTTCAGCCTCACTGCTCTGTGGGAATCTCCTCCCACCTGCCACCAGCATCCAATTCCAGTTTTTGCGGGCATCAGAAGCCGTGCCCTGAGCCACCCTGAGAAGCAGGGATGTGTGCATCCCCACACAGCCAGACCCACCTTCAGGAGAACCTGGCTGCTGTCCAGCCGTGCTGTAGCCAACCAGGAGGCTGAGACTGGCCCAGGACCACGGGTACTGCAAGCTCCAGCACCAGCTTGCCCTGCTCTGGGGCAGCACTGAGCTGCAGATCCTGACTTGAGGGCAGAGGGGATGTTTTCTCCTGTGCCTGCTCTGGATGGAGGCTTCAGAAGCCTCACACTGACTGGATGGACTTGGTCTGCCACAGGCTGCAGGGCTGTGTTGTGGGGCACCGTGCCTGTGCCCATGCCTGTTCCTGGTCCACCCCAGGCCAGCTGTGGAGGACAGCTATGCCCTGGGAGACCTAAGCACATGTCTGTTCTCAGATGGGGCCAGGACCACGAGGTGTCAGTGACTGAAGAGCATTAACAATGCCCTGGGTTCCTACCACCCCAGGCAGTGAGACCTGTCAGACCCCTCAAGACCTCCTGCGACCTGCCACCATATCCTGGGTGCACTTGCTGGGTTCCTATGGTCCTACTCCCCAGAGATCTGGGTCCAGAGAAGGGCAGTGAAGCTGCTGAAGGGACTGGAGCAAATGTCCAATGAGGAGTAGCTGTGGAAGTTGGGGTTGTTTAGCCTAGAGAAAAGGATACTCAAGGAGGACCCTCTCACTCTGTATAACTCCCTAAGAGGAGGGTGTAGCCAGAGGTGAGGCTCTGTTTCCAGGGAACAAATGACAGGACAAGAGGAAATGGCCTTAAGCTGTGCCAGGGGAGGTTTAGATGGGACATTAGGAAGAATTTATTCACAGAAAAGATGATTAGACATTGAAACAGGCTGCTCAGGGACTCACCATCCATGGAGGTGTTTAAGGAACAACTGGATGTGTCACTTAGTGCCATGGTCTAGTTGATAAGGTGGTATTCAGCCATAAATTGGACTCAGTGATCCTGGAGGTCTTTTCCAACCTAAATGATTCTGTGACCTTGGCCAATCTGGAGGCCATGGCCATGGCAGTGGGGTATGGAAGCAGCCCAAGACCTCACAGAGGACGTGAATGGAGGGGCTGCAGAGGGCACACAGTGCTGGGTACACAGCCAGTGGTTTGCTCTGTGCCCAGATGTTGGTAGCCAGGCTAGGTGCTGGTGTGCTGCCCAGGTGTGATCCAGGTGAAGCCCTGCAGGTCTGTTTGCCCTCATGCCGGCTGTGGGAGCACAGACACAGGCCATGGTGCCAGTGGAGCCGCACAGCACTGGGGACACCTGTGAGATGTCTGTGAGGGGGCACCTCAGCACAGGTGCACTGCACCCACAGCCCAAGGACAGGGTGACACCTTGGCGCCAGCACCCACTTCGTGGGGACACAGAATGGGTCAGCTTGAAAGTGACAACAGTGGGTCATCTGACCAGTCCCTGCAGACACCGACATCTACTGTCATAAAAAGCTGACGTTACAAACAGATGAAACGAAGCTCCTGAATACACCCACCCGCCCTCACCGCCTCCAAGCTGAGTTTGCTATTGGGACTGGGTGGGACTTGTGCTCGCCTCACCATCTCCTGGCCCCGCCCCTTACACCTTCAAACCAGAGTTGTGGCTGGGGAGGGGCTTGTGCTGGCATCGCCCACTCTCGTCCCGTCCCTCGCTGCCTGCAGGCCGCTGCTACGGCCCGGGGCGGCGGCGGTGTGTCCGCCGCGGCCTGCCCTGGCCCCGGGAGGGCCCCGCGCCGCGGCTGCCGTCGGTGGCGGGTGGGGCTGCAGGTCTCGCTCTCCTGGCCCCGCCCTCCGCTGCCTCCGGCCGATTTACCGACTCGGGCTGGGCGGAGCCACCGCGAGCCCCGCCCCGTGCACACCCCGCCCCCTCTGGCCCCGCCTGCGGTCGGCGTGGCTCCGCCCCTTTCCTGCGCGCTGCTGTGGCTCCGGGCGGGGCGGCGCGGCCGGGCCGGGGGATGCGGGGAGCGGGGCCGGCCGTGCGGGCCGCCCGTGGGGCGCTGCCGCGGGGCCGGCCGCTGGTGTTGCTGCTAGCGG